TGATGCTGCTTGGCCTGCTGTGTTCATCCAGCTCTACACCTTGTTATCTCAGATTTTCCAGCATCTGCAGTTCCTACTATCTCTGAAAGATATTTGAAACTAGTGGCTTTGCATGATCTTTTGCTGCACTGGGGAATGGGATAACATGCCTCTGGTCCCAACCTCCTCCTGGTTGATCCCGTGTCTGAATCCAGTTGAGACTTGCAAACTACACCTGAAAACCACACCGTGCTCCATGAGTTGTAAATGTACTGCAAAGCAAGTTTGGATGTATGTTTGTATTTCAGATTTACAAGCTTTACTGATCATCTGGAAATGGTTATTATACTTGATAAACTTAACAACCAATTTCAGATGATGAGCTGAGTGTCTTCAGCCATTTTTTGATTTCACTTGCGGTGAATCAACTTGACTGAAGATTAACTTCCGTGATGCTGGGGACTTCCAGAGAAGGCTGAGATGGATTGGCCACTTGGCTTTTCTGGCTAAAGATTGTTCATATGCTTCACCCATTTATTTGCACTGATGTGCCATCATTGAGGATGGGAATATTTGTGGAGCCTCCTCCTCCAGTGCGTGATTTAATAGTCCATTACTAATTACAATTGGCTGTGGCAGAACTGCAGAGTTTAGGTCTGATCTCACGTTGTGGAATCACTTAGCCCTGTCTATAAGTTGCTGCTTATGCTGTTTACTAAACAAATTGTCCTATTTTGTAGCTTCACCAAGTTGACGCCTCTTTTTCAGGTATGCCTTGTGCTAGCTACAGTAGAAAAATAGAATGATTGTGGTTGTTGGAGGTTAGTTATTTCAGCTCCAGAGCATCTTTGCAGGTGTTCCTGAGGGTAGTGATCGAGGCCCAAACATCTTCAGCTCCTTCATGAATGTCTTTTCCTCCATCATCATGTCCTTCCCTCCTTCATGGCTCAGACCTTGGAATATAGGAGATTGGATGCTGTGTTGAGGTTGTACAGGATGTTGGTGAGGCCTCCTCTGGAGTACTCTGTCCAGTTCTAGTTCCCCTGTTATAGGAAGATTATTATTAAGCTGGCGAGGGTTCAGAAAAGATTTACCAGGATGTTGCCTGCAATAGACAGTTTGAGTTATGGGGAAAGGTTGGATAGGCTGGGACTTTTTTCATTGGAACAGAGGAGGTTGAGGGTTGACCTTATAGAGGTTTAAAAATCACGAGGGGTGTAGATAAGGTGAATGGCAGGTGCTTTTTTTCCTAGGGTGAGGGATTTCAAGACTAGGGGACATATTTTTAAATTGAGTGGAGAGAGATTTAAAAAAGACAAGAGGGGCAACTTTTTTTACATAGAGAGTGGTGTGGAATGAATTTCTAGAGGAAGTGGTGGATGCAGTTACAGTTACAATGTTTAGTAGACATTTGGATAAGTACATGAATAAGAAATGTTTGGAGGGATATGGATCAAGAACAGGCAGGTGGGATTAGTTTAATTTGGGATTATGGTCGGCATGGACTAGTTGGACTGAGGGGTGTGTTTTCCATGCTATATGATTCTATAAGGTCAGAATGAGGGATGTTCACTGATGATTGCACAATATTTAACACCAATATTGACTCCTTAGATAATGAAGCAGTCCATGTTCAAATGCAACAAGATCTGGACGATATCCAGGTTTGGACTGACAATTGGCAAGTAACATTCCCACCACACAAATGTCACACAATGACCATGTCCAGTAAGAGTCTAATTACTGCCCTTTGACATTCAATAACATTACCATCACTGAGTCCCCCATTATCAACATTCTGGGGTTACTATTGACCAGAAAATCACCTGGACTTGCCATATAGATACAATGGCTATAAGTCCACATCAAAGGTCGGAACGCTGCAGCGAGTAACTCATGTTCTGACTCCCCAAAGCCTGTCCACCACCCAGGCACAAGTCAAGACTGTGATAGAATACTCCCCACTTGCCTGGATGGGTGCAGCTCCAACAACATTCTAGAAGCTTGACACCATCCAGGATAAAACGGCCTGCTTGATTGGCCTCCATGCCCTCCCCCACCAATGCTAAGTAGCAGCAGTGTGTGTTATCTACAAGATACCCTGCAGAAATTCACCAAATATCCTTAGACAGCACCTTCCAAACTCATGACCATCTAGAAGGACAAGGGCAGCAGAAAGGGCAATAAAACACCACCACCTGCAAGTTCTGCTCCAAGCCATTCACTTTCTTTACTTGGTAATACATTGCTGTTCCATCACTATCACTGGGTCAAATTCTGGACTTCCCCCTCCAAAGGCATTTTAGATCAACCTACAGCACATAGACTGCAGCAGTTCAAGAGACAACTCACCACCACCTTCTCAAGGGCAACTAGGGACAGACAATAAATGCTGGCCAGTCAGCAATGCCATATCCCCTGAGTCAACAAAAGAAAATTAATAGGTTTAATTATATTCAGATGGTGAAGTTATATTGCAAATAATTATGAATGTAATCTCTTAAGGTAATATTTATATTACAAAATCTATTTCACTTATATGTATGAATTGCAAATTGTAAATGCATTTGTGGCTTACGTAGTTTGCATGATGAGCATGTGCAAAAATACTGATAATCCTTTATTAATATGTAAATTGATGAAATTATGATTAGGAAAATTGGAATCCTGCAGATATAATTCAATTTTGTACCGTACGATCTAGTAACACACATTCTTTGGCTTTCAGCTAACATCACTGATGAGATTTTAGCATACTGCGGAACTAACAGTTGCCCACAACATGATTCAAAAGTCTCTCAAAATGTCACATCTGTCCACCATTCAATGGCTGTGATCCACACTCTCTCAGCTATTTACACCGGTAAGTAACAATCATTTGCGATATACCTAATAATGTAAACCTCAAAAGCAGCAATGCTGGAAACAACTCAGCAAGTTCAGCATCATCTAGAGAGAAAACAAAGAGTAAATATTTTGACTGCAATTTAATTCTTCTTCATGCAAAGTAATGCATTCAAATGCCAAGCGACAGGAAAATTAAGGTCATGATTGTGGTGTTCTGTAAAGCAGTTATTCTGTTTGTTTTGGTCTCTGCAAAATGGAGGAGATAACATTGTGAGAAGTCAATGCACTGAATTAAATAGAAAGATGTATAGGTAAATGGCTGCTTCATTTGAAAGGAATGTTTGTGGGCTTTGTAGAGAAAAGGAGGTAAAAGGGCAGGTATTACGCCTCTGCATGGCAAAGGAAAGCACCAAAGGAAGGAGATGAGATATTGAGCATGGTCAAGGGTATGTGGAGGGAATGGAATATGCGTTTGATTTAAAGTTCTGCTTATTTTAGTTCATACCATGTGGATTCTTCAGTTATACTTATTCTTGACCCAATATTCACTGTTAGGGAGAATTAATAGTAATATGAAAATTGATTTCCTCTGCTGTGAGCTAAAATGGTGCCCAATACTGGCTGAAATAATATGGCAGAATAAAAGAATACAGCAGCAATTAATTGCATCCAGAAGCCTGTACACTACTTTGTTTACATTACCACACTGCCTTTCAAAGTGCTACTTTTCTAGGTATCACTGTAATGTGAATAGGAAACAAAATTTTGTCTGCTGATAACATAACAAAGTTACAAATTTGTTTGCATCTATTTGGTGAAGACTACAATGAACATCTCTGTTGTAATGCCACTTCATTTAATATTTATTTTTATTTCATTCATGTAGGAGTCAGGAGAAATTAAAATAAATTGTTGTTACAACCTTTTAGATTTAATGCATAGATCCATGAAGGATTTTTTTGTACTTGGTTGAAATGGAATAACAAAGGCAAAACCACAGCACCATATTTATGAAGTGTGTTGGTTCTACCACCCAATAACATGCATGAACATAACAGAGCAATATTGCATCTTTGCCATATTTGTAAATGATGTGGAGGTGATGGTGTTGGACTGGTGTGGACAAGGTCAAAAATCAAACAACACTAGGTTATATTTGAAAACACTAGCTTTCAGAGATCTGCTTCTTCCTCAGGTGTAGTGACCATATTAGTAAAGGTCGAAAAAGAGGCATCTATTTCTCACAAAGAAAATAAGCTCCCTATTTGTATGTGCTGAGTGGCTAAAGGCTGCCTTAGCTTTCTTTTCTTAAACTGGACTGCTTTGAAATCTGGTGCCAAGTTGACTATGGGTAGTGAGGCAAGGACTACACAGAGCCTTAAAGGGAAAGCTGGAGGCTGCCACCAAAATTTTAAGTTTTTGTATAAAATATGGCAACATGAATGTTAAGCCAGAAAGTGCAGGAGCATCTACTATCTTCACAACAATATCAAAGAAGGTTGCAGGTTTCTACACAGCTGCTTTTCAATCATTCTCCCCAAATAAATCACCTCTCTTGATTGCTTATCACTATACATCATGCTCTCCCTGTAACCTATTCTTTCAATAACAGGATTATTGGAAGAGCCTTGTTGTCCTTCCAAATTATATTCATTTATCTCCATTGCACCAGAGTGTTATGCTGAATTCATGCTGGAGGGGTGCATGCAGCTTGTCTCTCTCATGTCAACAAGACCAGAAGCCGAATATTACCTTGGCTTATCTTTCGTAGTGCAGGGATTATGCTCCATACCACTCTCAAAGTACCAATTATTCAACCATAATGGTCCAAAAGTGCATGTCCAATATCATATTGTGTTAATCTGCAAAGGTACTGTCTTAAACTCTTTTTCTTCCTGTGACAAGTTCACTATACCAGGTGTTTGAGACTGGTGTGCTGCAGCAAGATGAGAAGTGTGCTGAAAGTTTTGTAAAAGCGGTGCCACTTTGCTCAGATTCCTGATACCCTGTAGGAGTTGAGCTTCGGCACTATGCATCCATGAAAGATGGGAAATCTGCTTATGCAGTTTGCTTTTGGTCTGAGCATGCAAGATAATTGAGGATCATACCTCTGAGATGAGAAGAAACTGCGCGTGCACAGTAAAGAGGCATGTAATTGTTGAAAGATGGTTGAACTGGCCTGTCTGCCTGCCTGCCTGGATAAATTTTCACATTTGTATGGATTTTAAGGTGAATATTTTGAGAATCTCTTATTAGTTAAGACAGTAATATAGGTCTTAGAATTGATACGAAGAAGAAATGGATAAGTTTCTTGTCAAAAGAGGTGATGCCTCCAGTAATTCAGTCAATGAAACATCTGAACCCAAAGCATAAAAGGTAAGAACTGTTCAGAGACAGTGCAATGAGAGCTATCCAGCCTTTGGATTTTCATGGACAGGAGATGCCACTTGCCCCTTACCTGAATGTTTCACTGTAGAGAGAAGTTGACAATTAGTTGAGTTTTGAAAGTGTGTCTGCTCCCATTGGAAGGTGCGTTTTTTTTCTGGCGGATTTGAAACATTAATGCGTTTTGATCCTATTTTAGCTTGCTGGATGTACCATGGTGCAAACGTCTCTAATAATTGTAGCAAATGCAAGTAAATGTGACGTTTGTGAGCAATCAATTCACCTGAAAAAGTGTACGTGTCATGCAATTATTTGTGTTATTGTGTCTTGATACTGAAAAGGTTGGGAACCAATGTACTATACTGTGAGCAGAGGATGACCATGCTACATGAAATAACTCCATAGATGTCAGTATCCTGTCACCAAGTCACCCTTTATTTACACATGGAAATTCTTTGACTCTGGTGCAGCCTTGTCAGAGTCAACTCCCAGAGTGAGCGTGATGTCTGACACTCCCATTTTTATCTGTCAGACAGGGCTCCCTATAGGACCAGATTAACAACCACAATCAGTGAACTCATATTCTGTAACGTCCACCTGGCTGGCCTGGTTACAGTCACTGCACTACAGATCTGACCACAGCATCAAAAACTTTGGTTATAGTCTTTTCAGGCAGCTCAGTGGTTCACTTCCTTATAACAGTAGGTCCTGAAGACTTGCTACAGCAACTTTTAACTTCCAGGATCTGCTCAATTACTTGGCTGAGCACAGGAAACCCACCTCTCATATGCTTTTGATCCCAGGACTAGAAATACAGTAATCATCAATAATCAGTCAATAAATCCAACCAATAAAGTATGATGAGATTTAACTATAGAGTTGTCATTTGAGACTTTTAATATCTCGTTCATGATTTTACTCAAAGATCTCAGAGTTGTCAATAAAACAAGACAAAGTTTGTCAGAGATGTGTCTCTGTGAGATGAAAGTAGACTGCAATCCAAACAGCATCAGTGTTATTTTCCAAACAGCATCAATAATGTTTAGTCAGTTAATACAATGTATATCTTCAAGTATAGTATATAAAAGGATCTGTTTAATTATTTACAAAAATTTGTGGAAAAGGTAGTTATTTATGTCAGATATATGTTTGCTTTTAAGAAAAGAGATGCTTTGTGTCCATGTGCATTTGAGGGGCAGAAGCAGATCAGTTGTATATATGATAGATTGTACTAGTAACTATCAATTGTTCTACCAATAGTAAAATCAAAACATATCTCTGTATAATATATTTTAGTATTTTTAAAACCATTGAATAGTTTATCATTCAGGATGATGAATTTGTGCATGTTTTTCAACTTTGTAGGACAGGTCAAACTAAGAAAGGGGAGGGAAATAAAGATATTAGAGAAAATTTCCATCTATAATTAGGAGTCAGTTTTAAATGGTTAAGAATACATGGAAATGGTAGCAGAATGGGAACTTGAAAATAATAGTTTTTTGGTATAATCTATTTGCATTCTTTATGGATCTATTTGTGGTAATTGATATGTCTAGGAAATATTATGATATTGGGAGTGGAAAGTTGCATTTAAATAATATTTAGAGGTACAGATTAATTTGATGCTAGTATATTAGTGGGACAACATTTCTAAAAGTCTCAAAGATGGTCTTAGCAGCTTGAATGCCTTCATCAAGACTGACCGTGCAGGTGACTGAAAAATGAAGCAGCAATGCACATGCTATGGACAATACATCTCTCAAGCTTATTGACAGTTGAATGTATCAGAACCTGCAGCAGTCATGTCATCTTGGCAGAAGAGGTCATTCAGACTATGCTATTGTTCCTATGATTTTATCCACACTGAATGGAATAATTTTCAGGAAGCATCCTCAAGCATCCTGCTAGAATTTTTGAGAATGTAACTAGCAGGATAGATATGAAAGAACTCATGGATATGGTGCTTCTGGATTTTAAGAAGACTTTTGATAAGGTCCCATACAGTAGGCTACTTGCAAGAGTACACTTATATAGGATGGGGGTAAATATATTGGCATGGATTCCAAGTTGGTTTATTTATTAGAAAACAGTGGGAATAAAGGGGTCATTTTCAGGGGGATAGCCTGTTGCTAGCAGTAGAGCTATCAGTGCTTAAGCTCCAGCCATTCACAATCCACATGAATGATTTGGATGGGGAACCAAATGTAATATTTCTAAGTTTTCTGATGATGCAGAACTAGGTAGGAATATGAATTGTGAGAGGGATAGAAAAAGGCTGCAAGAATATTTAGATAGGCTGGGCAAGAACATGGTAGGTAGAATACAGTGCGTGAAAGTGCAAAATTATCAATTATGGTATGGAAAACAGAAATGCAGTGTATTTCTTAAATAGTGAGAGATTGAGTAGTGTTGATGCTCAAAGGTACCTGGCTGCCTTTGCTCATAAATCACTGGAAGCTAACAAGCAGGTACAACAAGCAATTAGGAAGGCAGATAGTAAGTTAGCCTTTATTGCAAGAGGATTTGAATAAAGACATCATGCTGCAATTGTATAGGCCTTGGTGAAATTGTAACTGATATAGAGATAGTAAGAACTGCCGATGCTGGAGTCAG